ACTCAGGGTGACAGGCTTCCTGGGTAGCCTTGGGCAGTCACTTAGCCTCTTTCTGCCTCAGTTTCCCACCTGTGTGCTGGGGCGCATGGCACGGCACAGCCTCGCGGGGGGCTGTGGGGATGAGCACAGGGAAGGCTGAGGTGCTCAGTGACGGGGCCAGGTAGACGGGCAGAGTGGCAGTCCATGCACTTGGTCAGGTTCGGGAACTGCGGAGCGATGCCAGGGGTCATTCGGCAGGGAAATCTCTGACTGTGGGGAAGCAGCCTCATTGCTGCTGCTTCTTCCTTGTGTCAGTCCCGGCAGATGGGCCTGCTGTCCCCGACGTGCTCTGTTCAACGCCATCGCCCCACATGCTAACGGGTCTTCTTGGGTCGGCCTCTCCGTCCTTTGCCCAGGGCTGCACGTTACATGAGCGGCCCTTCGGAGCCGGTGCACCCTCGCTGTCGTTTACGGGTGTCACTTGGAGCGTGTCTCTAATGTACACGTTCCTCACGGGGCCCTTCTCATGTACACCACTTATCCTTCCCCGCGGTCACATTTCTGGGGAACGGGTCATTTGCTCACCTGGTTTCTTTGTTCCCAATGCTCAGCAGCACATACTAAACCTGGACGGACCCCTGCTGTGTAGACCTTCCCTTTTCACCTTCCTGGCATCTTCCTGCCCCATACTGCACCACTTCTCTCTCTCTCCAGCTGAGCCATGCAGCCTTTTTGCTTGGGGCATTTAATTAGACTGGGAGACACGCTGGAGTAGACAGAGTAGGGGGCCAAGAGTCTGGGTTAGATGAGCACAGAGCTCTGTCCCTCTCTGGCGTGAGGATCCAGATGTGTCCTGGCAAACCACCGTACGCTCCCTGGTACACACTGCGCTGGGGAGAGCACTTGTTCGGACAGATGGTCACATGGCACCGTGATGCAGCCGCGTCCAAATGGCAGCGTGGCAGAGTTAGCAAATTGGCAGGGCCTTCCCCATCAGACATTTTTGGGCATGTCCAGTGTGGGTCTCAGGTCCTCGGCAGGTGTGTGCACTGCAGGGTAATGCATGAAGGCTGCAGTCCATGCAGAAGCCAGCATCTGCACCTCGTTCCCTGCACGTCTGTCTGGAAATGCGCCACTGAGTATTAGGGGGAAATCGTATCTGCCTTGGTTTTTGGATTGAACATCTGTGCATAGCTACCTCTGGCTGGTCCCTGTGCAATGAACTGGCTCTCGGTGCACAGAGATCATCTGGATACAAGGAAGGTCCACAAGTGGCATGTGATGGTCAGGTCTTGACCTGTTCTCTCCTCCGTATGGCTTAACTCCGTCCCCACACACATACCATAGCGCATGCAGATCTATTCAGCTGTGGCACTTCGGAGAGAGACGTCTCTTTGATGCGAGGCTGCGTTTTAACCTTGGGAAAGGCTGAGGTTGAAGCCAGGTTAAATAAATAAAAAATGGAGAAAAACAAAGCTCTGGAAGCTTGAAGACCTGGAGATGTGAAGTTCCCACAGCTCTCCTGCAAAATGTCTCGTGCGAGAAGCAACACACACCAAGCTCAGCCAGCCCAGGCCATCCCACACCGAGCCTCTCCGCCCCGCCCCAACTATGCCCTGCGCCTTTCTGGCACAGTCCTGCCTGGCATCAGGAACCATGCCTTGCCGATGGCCAGAATAACTGTATCAAGCCTGTCTGCAGTGTGTGGCCTGTTTCCCAGCTCCAGCCCTGCAGCGCCGGCCTGTACAGAGACCTCCAAGCTTTGTGGCAGTGATACACCTCTTACAGGATCAGAGACATGTAAATCTGGAGAGCCTGTGTGGCGTTAATGAGCAGCTGGCGGAGATAAGTCGTTGGCCTGAGCTGTTGGGGTCACTCTGATGTTTCCACGACGCATTCCATGGATCGGATGCAGACGGGTGGCAGAGCCTCTCTGCCGTTCGCAGCTGTGGAGGGAGCCAGCTGGTGCCTGGCCCAGCTTTGGCTCCAGGTAAATAACCAGCGAGCATCACCTGATGGAGCGGAGCAGCCAGCTGGTGCCACTCCACAGGTGGTTTGCTAACGAGAGATGAATGGAGCAGCCAAGTGCAGAAGACACTGAGGGGAGCCCCTGTGATGGCTGAACTGGAGAGCGGAGCTTGGGGGAACGCGGGAGCCGGGGCTCCTGTAATGCTGCACAACAGTGAAGTGCCTCTGCAAAGAGGTACAGGGACAGACAGCATGCTCCGGGCCTGCAGCATTTCTGTCTCTTGAGGCAGAGCTCTCACTGATCCCCTCTCCAGCTCCCCCCCCCCCCCAAACAACAAGAGGAACGTGGTAAAGGGCCCGAAGCAGGCTGGCTGGAAAAAGCGAATCCAAGCAGTGATCAGCAGCGAGCGCCTTCACACCGGGACCCCGAGCCGAACACACCCGGGCGCAGAGGAGAGAAGCAGTCGCAGCGAGGGGAGATTGCTCAGCCTCGGATCACTGCCCTTCGTGTGGAACGCTCCGTCGTCGGTGGCGATCAAACGGAAAAGCAAAGCACTGCTGGGCGGGTTTCACTGCAGCGATTCCAGAAAAGGGGGGTGGGGACCGTCTGGCTGAAATTCTCTGCAGCCGGCTGCCAAAGAAGCAGATGGGGAAGCCGGTTGGACTGCAGATTTACCAGGCAGGCAAATGTAGGCTTAGGCTGAGCCTCGTAAGCATGCAGAGCCACTCTACCTCCAGTGTAAACCCACTGCCATACAGCCTCAGGCGTACTGTATGCTCACAGGTACATGCACACACACCCCTCTCCCTCCCTGCACAACACCTGAATGCTTAGGCCATCTCACACACCATACGCACACATTCACCCACACCCAGTGTTGCCATTCCATCTCCAGGGCACTCTGTGGGCATACAGGGAGTTTGTTGCCTTTCTGGGCCTCCTTGTGAGCTCAGGGCCCTACATTCTGCATTTCTACATGGCCCCATCACTTCCCAGTCCCATGGGCTCCTCCCCTTGAGCTCAGGATGCCACCTCCGCAGAGGCGAAGGCTGAGCCCTGCCTCTCAGACAGGATAGCCACAGCCCCCACCAGCTCCTGAGTGGCATGTGCTTCAGCAAGCCACTCATTAAAACGTCTCTCGGGTGTTGGATAGGCCGCGCAGAGGGGAAGGGAGGGCAGCTGGGTAGGGGGCACCTGAGTCTCTTGGGGAGGCATGGGAGGCAGTTTGGGATTGTAGATTAAACACATCAGGTGGTACTTTGGCTAAAATGATCAGCAGTGAATAGCTAACACGAGTGGTATGCCATTAGGTTTCAGAGTTAACGGCCATTTGGGATGAATGGGCAGTTTTTGCCGCTTGAGCCTATGGTGTCAGGCTCTCTGCAGACTCAGGAGCACAGTGCCGCACTGGTTACATTTTGAAGTATTTTTCTCAACCATGAGGATTAGAAAGATTTTTTTAAGTATGAAAACTTAAGATTCTGGAATCTGGGAGGTTGGGGAGGATCCTGTCGTGAATTCTGCAGCCCTAGTTTCCCAGAATCCCTGGGGCTTGACCCTCATCTGATTTGTAACTAACATTCGTAAAAATGGTAGCTGTGTTGAGGAATGCAAGGTTGGGATAGCAGGGGGCTGCGGGTCAGGAGTGAGGAGCATCAGAAGAGCATGTGACTGTCAGGACTGGAATAGCAGAGGGCTGTAGCCCAGACTGAGGTGGCCCAGCACAGCTGCATTTGGGGAGCGCAGGACAGGAGATGCAGGGGTGCTGAAGTCGTCCTTGGGGTGTTCTAGCAAAGCTGCATAGGGAAGCTACAGGCCAGTGGCTGCTCACACGAGACAGGGCAGGGCTCTGTCACACAAACTCACATACGTGGACCATGGAAGGAAAGCCAGCGATGGTTTGATGTTATTGGCTGGGATTTCCTGGAGTCCCTTAGAGCAACGTGTCAGGGAGCCGATGATGACCCCTGGCACTGGCGGCCAGATGTTGCTGCTGTTGTTTCTCAGTCTGGAGTGTGGCGTTCCGGGGCTGCACTGACTCGTTGAGAAATGATCTGACTCCTCCCTGTCCGGGAGAGAAGTGAAAGGAGCTGGATCTCCCTCTGTCCCCATTGTTGTATTGTGGGCCTGGAGGCTTCCTCTGGAGGCTCTGTTCACCTGAGCCAATTGGCCCGCATGAGCTCTGCAGGCTCCCACGTGATCCTCACTCTAGCTGATTTCTAACGCTGCTCATGCTATTCCCAACCCAGCAGCTGAGCGAACGCTGCTGGCCCTCTAATGCTGTAGGGTTCCTTTCAGGGGTGGAGCCATGAACCCCGCCATGGGAAGGACTCTGCCTTGGGTAGCTTTGCTTCAGACCCGTGGCCTAATACTCTGCCATCTAGAGTCTACTGAGCACCCCGGGAGGGCGTGACCGGTCTGGCATCCCGCTGGTGTAGCTAGTGGCCCGCAGGGAGACAATCTGGCATGGGATCTGAGTCAGGCTGCAAGAGGCATGACAGAAAGCCCAGCGCCTCGGATTTGTTTGTATCTGTGGCCATCTCAAGCCAGCTAGGCCTTTGCGGCCTCCTCTCCGGTCTCAGGCAGGGAGACAGCGCCAGGATTTGGGAAAAGAGGGATAGAAAAGCAGCAGAGGTTAAAGGAAACCAGCCCGTTGTGTGGCAGGGCTCTGTGTCCAGGCCTCAGCGTGGCTGGGGCCTAGTGTGGTTGCTAATGGGAGCAGGAGGGGAGAGAGCTATTACAAACCAGGGGATGAAAGTGACCAAAGTCGGGGGGTGGGCTGGTTATCAGGAGAAACTTCCTCATGGTCAGATCTGCGGCTGTGGAAGGGGTGGAAGCCCGATTGCCTCGATGGTTTCAGTGCAGACTGGGCTGGAGAACACAGTGTGCACCGTGACAATCCTGCACTGAAAGGTGAATCACAGGATCGGAGCAGGGCCCTCACCTGGGCAGAGGGATGCTGCCCCTGGTTGCTTTTTGCCCTGGGTGGGGTGCACCCTGGGTCAGAGCCACCCATGTTTAATTTGACTGTGGTTTCTTGTTTCATTTTTAGGTCCTCCTTGACCTGCCCACACTGTCTGAAGCAGAGCAACACCTTTGACCCCTTCCTGTGTGTCTCGTTACCCATTCCCCTGCGCCAGACCAGGTACGTGAACGCAGCACCGCTGCCTCTGCTCTGAGCTTGCACCCGCATCGGCCCCTGGGAAACGTCTTCCATCCCCACTCCGACTCTCTCATCCCCGCCCCGCTCCTGCTCCCTCGGCAGGGTGAGGCCTCTGGCTACCCTGTGAGCCCACCCAGCGCTGTGTGCAGCGTGAACCATGTGCGGCTTGCCTGTCCCTGGCAGGGGGCCTTGCTGTAGAAGGCAGAGGTGCTGGAACTAAGGGTGCTGGAGGTGCTGCCACACGCCTTGGTTTGAAGTGGTTTCCATTATCTCCAGGGTTTACAGTTGGGGTCAATGGCTCTCAGCACCCCCACCATACAAATTGTTCCAGTGTCCCTGGCCGAAGGTGGGGCTGCTCGCTGTGGGGGGAGGGGGTTAGTGTGGATGGGGTGTTGGAGTCTGTCTCTGGGTTCCAATCACAGTGAGCTGGGCGGGTCCCATCGCAGTTGCTATTGGTCAGTCCACAGCCCAGACACATCATGCTACTTTTCAATGTGGTGACCTAGGACTGGCAGAATGGGACAGCGGGGCTGGTGGAGGATGAGCAGAGCTGTGTGTGTGGGGAGCCCGGGGCTGGGATACCAGGGGGCTGCGAGTCGGGATTGAGGGTCACTGATACAGCTGTGTACGTGAACCCAGGGTTGGGATAGCAGGGGGCTGCGTGTCAGGAGTGAGGGGCACTGGTACAGCTGTGTGGGAGGAGCCCGGGGCTGGGATAGCAAGAGGCTGCGAGTCGGGATTGAGGGTCACTGATACAGCTGTGTACGTGAACCCAGGGTTGGGATAGCAGGGGGCTGCGGGTCAGGAGTGAGGGGCACTGGTACAGCTGTGTGGGAGGAGCCCGGGGCTGGGCTAGCAGGGGGCTGTGGGTCAGGAGTGAGGGGCACCAGCAGAGCTGTCTGGGGGGAGCTCAGGACTGGGAGATCGGAGGGTGATGACTGACATGTGCTGACAAAGCTGCAAGGCAGACTGGTGGGTCCTTGGCTGGAGCAGCAGCAGCTTATTTTCAATCAGGACCGAGGTGCATCGGCTGTAGCTGGGCCAGGGAAACACTTGCAAAGCTGCCCTCCCTTCACTGCCCTGCACTCCCACTCTGCCACCCGAAGGGTACACGGCAACAGCTGCGCTCTCCCCAGGCCCCAGCGTGGGGGTGGGACTTCCAACTGTAGGCATTAGCCAATAAAACACCCCGAAACAAACAAACAAACAAACAAAAAGTACTTGGTGTTTATCCAATGAACACCGGAAATGGCTATTTGTAGTTACAGGCGGCGGGTGATGCACTCTGCAGGGGAGATTCCTGAAGCACACTAACTTGCTGCATGTTAACAGGTCTGCTCAGACCCTGCTGGTGTGCTCTAAAGGTTGCCTAGTGCGCTTTAAGTCAGCACCGTTTGAAACAGTCCTACGTTAACATGCACCAGGGAACGTTACCAAGAGATACTCGGTACAGCACGTACAAAGGAAAGCCCTCCCCCCCCATTTTTGGACAGCTGCATAAAACTCAAAATTTGCTAAAAAATACCCCCCAAAATGAAATGAATAACCCCTGAAAACCAGACGCCCTCCATGGGGGGCAGAGGTAGCTCAGCAGTTGCCATTCTGCCCCCTGCATTAGCCAGCACTGGGCGCTGCAACCTCTAATAGAAAGGTTCTGTTACGGGAGGTCAGCCCATTATTCTCACAGGGCAGCTTTCGCTCCAGCTCCTTCATCTGTATTTCTAGAAACTCAGCTGCTCTTTCTCCGGCTTGGGCAACGCCAAGCAAGGAGCAGCCGCGAGGGTGTTTGAAAAGGCGCAAACCTGCCAAGGAAGGAAGGAAAGAAAATGAGATTTTTTATTGATATTGGTGAGAGCAAAACAGCCACTTTCTTACCAGTCAAATCCTCCTTTGCGTTCTGAACTAGCAGCCGTTTCCTACACATCTGCTGCCCCCACGCTGGCTCATTAGGACACAGATTACCGGCTCCTGTGATATCATTGCTCAGACCCCAGATCTTACAGGTGAGAGCCGAGGCCGTCCACCCGACAGGATTGACTCTTCCAAAGAGCTGTTTTCACACGTTGCAATCGATAATAGATGCAGGCGCGAACAGCAGTGTCAGCGCTGAACTGATAGACGTGACTAGTAACAATTCCCGAGGCAGGAAGTGTGTTTGGCAAGTGTCTCATTGGAGCTGCGAAGTTAATGTGCGATTAGTCGCAAAAACCGACAGCGGGAGAAAAATATTGTCCCTGCGTGTCTGGGAGTCGGCTCCACCGAGCGTCACGACCTTGACACATCTGCTCCCGTTAGCTCCGCGGAGCCCGCACTGCTGGCAGGTTCTGTCTGTCTCTGGTTGCACAGCACCCAGCACAACAGGGTTCCCATGCGTGCCGGCAGCCCCTGGGGCTAGTGCGGTGCACTCCAGGGTGAGAGTTCTGCTCTGCACCCACAAACCTGCTCTCCAGCCCTGCCTGACAGACCTTTACGGGGTGATGGGGGAAGAGGCAGAAGGAAAATGAAGCAGCTGAGCACAAGCTCGGAGCAAGGGGCAGCGTGGAGTCGTAATGTGGTCATTGGTTCCCCTCTTGCTCCCGGGGCAGTCACCCTGTACCAGGCACAGATTACTTTCCCCTCCACATCGGATCTGCTGCGCTGGCCAGTGTGTGTGCGTTCGTGCATGTGCGTGCCTGTGTGGGTGGCCGGGTGACCAGATGGCAAGTGTGAAAAATCGGGACAGAGGGTGTGGGGGGGGGGGGTAATAGGAGCCTATATAAGAAAAAGACCCCAAAATTGGGACTGTCCTTATAAAATGGGGACATCTGGTCACCCTAGTGGGTGGGTGCATGCATGTGTGTGCGTATGTGTGCATGTGCGTGCGTCCATGTGTGGGGGTGTGTACATGGGTGTGTGTGCGTGCATGTGTGCACCTGTGTGGGTGGGTGCATGTGTGTGCATGCGTGTGTGCACCTGTGTGGGTGGGTGCGTGTGCATGTGTGTGCGGGGGTGCATGTGTGTGCGTGCGTGCATGTGTGCGCCTGTGTGGGTGTGTGCATGTGTGTGCGTGTGTGTGAACACACTTGTGCAGTCAAGTCTCCACCCAGCTGTGTGGGGGGCGGACTAGTGGCTACCTTTGCGCGGGGGAGAAGGGGCCACAGACGCTTTCCTACCAGCCTGTGCGGATGCGTAGCCAAGGTCCTGGGTGGCTCCCCAGTGCCCAGCCCCACCTCTGCAGAGACGCCTGGAGGCGGTGGTTCAGGTTGTCCCAGTCTAACCCCTCAGGAGCGCCATGCAGGATGGGTGCAGCAGCTGGAGGGCGCTACCCAGAGACTTAGCAGCTGTGTGGGGTTATTTGTCCTGTCCCCGCCCCCATAAGAGCAGCCTGCGAGGTCCCGTCATAGGGCAGAAGGGGCCGTTAGACCCTGGCCTGACCCCTGCAGAGCACACGCCACAGGATTTCACCGTTACCTCTGCAGTTAGCCCAGTCGCTTGCCTCTACCCAGTGCGTCTCTTCCAGAACAGCAGCCAGCCTTCCTGCGGAGACCGCAAGAGATGGAGAATCCACCTCTTCCCTCGGCACTGGGGTCCAGTGGGAAATCACCCCACTCTGCTCACAATGGTTTCTGATGAGATCAGGAGCTTTGTCTACCCCAGATGGCTCCAAGTCATGAGTCAGCCCCCCAAAAATCATGAGATAGGCTTCAAAAGTTTGAGTGTGGAGCCAGGAATACGTCTGGGGGGTTGTTTGTGTGACCAGCTGGCTTTGGAGCCGTGAGGTCACATCTGGGCCACGTTTCCAGCTTTTCTCCACAATCGCAAAGGCTAAGGACTAATTTTTTTTTTAAATCCAAGCTGAGATTCGCCTCCGTCCCCAGGACTCCAGGAGCTGGGGCTTTAAGAAAACCTCCGTTAGTGAGAGAATTGGCAACACGG